AAAAGAAGTCTCTGCTTAATTACAATACATGCTTATTACAAGCTTATTAACTTATTACAGCCTATTCAAAGATTAATTTAAATGTTGCTGGTACTGAACCCACATTTCTTGGGCGATGGTGTCTCTTAAAGCGTTTTTGTATCTTGAACCCACATTTAGGTCATTCATTTGATCACCACTTGGTACAGCAACAAAGTTTCTTGGAGGGATATTATCCGGCTGATGATCTAACCATTCCTCATCTCCATGAAGTAATCGGATCAGATTATGGAAGATGGAAGCAGCTATAGGTATCTTTACTTGATTTTCCAACATGTGGAATGTGGCAACTTTCAGAATGGGGAAGCGCTTCTTAAGCACCCCCAAAGCCCTTTACACATGGTTCCTTAGTAGTGCGTGGCGGTGGTTAAAGAGCTCCTTTGGGTTCTGCGGCCTTCGATGTCCAGCCCCAAATTCTTTCAAATGGTATCGAACTCCCCGATATGGAGCAAGAAAAGATGGAGTATTTGCATACCCTCCATCAACTAGATAGAATTTGCCTGGAGGTACTTGGAAGCCCTTGCTCATAGCTAATCGTAGCACTCTAGAATCTGTAGCCGATCCCTCCCATCCACTAGAAACGAAAGTGAAGTTGAGATCGAAATCACATGCCACCATCACATTAATGCTTAGTGTGCCCTTCCTATTTCTAAAAGGAGAAGCTTTCTCAGAGGCTATGGAAATAGGAATATGAGTTCCATCAATGGCACCTAGACAATTCTTGAAAAATGGATAGAATCTAGGATTGTCTTGGATTTTTCTATGCACTTGATTAGGATTAGGAGCTTGAAGGTAACGACGAGAGAGTGCGGGAATGACCACCTTGAAGAAGTGGTTGATGTGATGATGGAAGGTGTCATTGCTGTGCCCAAAGAACACTTGGAGATCCTCATACGAGGCGTTGTGACTTAACATGTATAGGAAGAAACCCAACTTCTCCTCCACAGTTATCCTAGTATCAACAACAAGTCTTTTGCTTCTAAGATAATTTGCCAATTCTCTAAAGATGTGTGGTTCCATCCTAAATGCAACTTGACAGTTCTTGACATGTCCCTCGAGGAGTCTTCGAACTTTAACCTCGCCTGTTTCTTCCGAAGTATGACGTTTCTTCTTTTCCCCTCCTCTAGCAGAACTCATAAGATATAAGGCGGGGAAAATAAATAGTATCATGTCATCGTCTTCTTCCTCCCTCCTCTTTCTAATACGATCTCGTAGTGAGAGACGCATTGCAGGACTGAAGCATACAATTTTATAGTCATATAGAAGCTAAATATTATTAACCATGTCATATAGAAGTTATATTATTGACCATGTCATATAGAAGCTATAATAAAGATTATAATCGTCTTATAGAAGCATATATAAACTTATAGTCATATAGAAGCTTTTGGAGTACCTTTTGGAGTTGGCACCGGATCCCAAGAAGGCGGAGGTTCACCTTCCCCAACTCTAAATGGTGCTGGAGAGATCTACAAGTAACAAGAAACCATTTGGCAAATCAAGACATCATCTAGATAATAATACAAGTAACAAAGTGAGCTAATAGGCTAGGTATGTCAACTTCAGTCTTCACTACAAACTGAAACAAAGGGACATTCCTTAATTCAGGAGGACGATATTAGCAGAATTCCTCTTTTTATAGTACAAACGAACTAGGCTAAGCTTGGTGGTCTCTCGCTGCCTCGCTATTGGCGGTACAGCAGGCGCGGGTGCCTGTCCGGACGCTAGCCTGTCCCAAATGACCTAGCTAACTACCTTGTCTTAAACATTCGTACATATCCAACACTTACTGTCGTCAGTGACAACAACAAAACTTACTAAGACAAGGGACCGGCGGCTGGCGTATACCATTGCGCCATCGTCGGCCTTGTTGCAAACCTAGACCACATTCAGCATACAAAATTCCAAGATGATTCCACAATATATTCCAGCAAACCCAGCAGACAAAGTTAAATGCTGCTATAGTAGTTTATAGTTACCAGACACAACAGTATATATAGTTACCAGACACAGCAGAAGATTTTTTTTCTCTGTAATTGCTTTGCTTGTCTAGAAGAGAATAAAGCAAGTCCAGATCCCAAGAATCTCCTAACTAGTCCACTCAACTACTCCCAAGTTACAAAGAAAAAGTAGTGATCAAAAGTGTATGCATAACACAAGGAATTTATACTAGTATAGCAGTAGATACATATGTACATGTATTTAAGTCTGAAAGTAGCAGGCATGTACTCGATGCCAAATTGAAGAGCTCACTTGAGGAGCAACGGAAAGGAACTTAAACAGTTCCAGGCAGATAGGTGTAGCTACAATACAAACAGCAGAGAAATAAGACAAGGACACTTAGGCCCTGTTTGGTTGAGCTGTGGCTGTGGGAGAAAGCTGTTGTGGGCTGTGAGCTGTGGAAAAGCTGCTGTGGGCTGTGAGCTGTAGAAAAGCTTAAAGCTGTTTGGTTAAACAAGTATAAAATGTACCTTTTATCTTTATCTCTCTTGAAACAACTATGGAAGAGCTTTTTATTCCACCAATTTTGAAAAGCAGAAAGCCAAAAGCCAAAAGCAGGATCAAACCAGCTTTCAAAAATGAACTACGAAAAAGCAGCTGCTTCTGAAAAAGCACCCTCCAAAAACAGCCCCTTTGGTTGGGCTTTTGGCTTTTGAGGCCAAAAGCCAAAGCCAAAAGCCCAACCAAACAGGGCCTTAGTCAGTAGGAGTGAATTCACATTACAAGTAGCATTTTGAAATCATGTAAACTGTATGACTAAACTGCACTACTGCAAAACTAAACTACTGACAAAGAAACTAACAGCCAATTGAAAGCATGTAAAGAAACAACTACCCTGCCGCTAGTAACAAGCCACTGAACTACACTTTATTGGGAGATAATAAAGTGTATCCTGATGGCAGCATGTAATCATATGAGGAACCATTATAAGGATAAATAGTCATAAATAAGGACTTCACTTGTGCTAAGTCCGACACTCAAATCTAAGTGGATAAGATCAATCAAGGGCTGTACAATATTCACACCTGAAAAAAAAAGTGTACGTACTGCATCAAAATGGGAGGTACTGGATGAAATTGTGGCCATGTTCATGTACCATGTTGATATCCAGTAACTCGTGGGCTTACTCTAAGGCCCCAATTAAAATAGTCAAGGTTATATTACATTACATTACATGCATTCAACAAATAACTGACTTATCCAATTTTGTGCTGAATACGTTCTGCTGAACTCACTTTGTAAAAGATAGTAGATTGTTTATAAGGAACAAGTAAACTGAAGCCCAACAAATTTCTGAGCTAGCAGGGTAACACTCGAGACAATTGCATGCAATTTGGCACAATGCAAACAGCTTTGGAAGGTGATATTTTTTTATTGGAAAAAAACATCGTAACCTCTGCCACTAGCGCCAAGGTCTCGATTCAACCTGCAGGTGCAGTAACTGAAAGGAGAAAAAATAAAACTCTACTTGCGGCGAAGCAGTACTACGAATGCAGATCATTAGACGCAAGACAATGCTAAAACTGTGGGCTCGTCTTCTTCAGATCTTAAGGGAAGTGAACCACGAAATGCAAGGAGGTAGGCAGTACCAGCAGCTCAAATAGTCAAATTTCGGGCAGTCAAGGAGCTTGTGGAGAGAGATGACCTTTCCTGTTGCTGTCCCGTCCCTTCCCTTCTCCCATATAAACAACCTTCAAGAATATTTTTAGGCGAGCAGAAGAAAGCAGAGCCACATGCTTTGCATTGCACACACACACACTAGTACTAGTACTTGGGGTAATTACAGAGGAGAGGAGGATACGATAGAAAACAAAGCAGACAGCCGTACGAGCATTCTCATGTCAAAGTTCTCCAGATCGAAGAACTGAAGAACACAACTCTGTCACCTAGGCCAAACTGGAGTAGGATAGATCGGCGCCCACTTCTAACCCTCACGAACGGATCATCATCATCACCACCATCCTACTACCAGGACTCTCAACTAGAACTAGAGACAAGATCCAAGAACCCTAGAGGAGGGAGAGAGGACGAGGACGAAGGGGAGAGCGAGGGAATCACCGGTGAGAAGGATGAGGAAGGGGGAGGATGTAGGGTTGCCGTCGCCTCACGCCGCCCCGTGGTCTCCCCGCGCCGCCCGGTGGTCACCTCGCGCCACCCCGCCGTCGCCTCTGCTGCGTCGTCGCGTGCTCGCGTCGTGGAGACAGGGAGCCGGCACCGATCCGGGTGGTAGGAGGTGTGGTTCCGTTCCGGGCCGTGGAGACTGGGAAAAGAGAAGCCAGTTTTGGTTCCGGGCCAGTTTTCGTTCCAGGCCGGCCCGAAACGAACGCATATTCTGGTTCCCATCCGGATTGGAAACGGGCCGCAGCAATCCACCCGGAACGGGCCCGGGAACGGGTCAATCCGGTAGAAACGAACGGGGCCTAAACAAGATTTGTTGTAGCAATTTTTGTCCAGAAATGATATACAACACACATGTGTTTTAGCACAAAAAACACATGGATTTTTTTTATCTCTCTCCCTCTCTCTTTCTCACCGGTGACCACCGGCGCCGGCGACCGGCGAGCTCGCCCGCGCCCACGCCGGCCATGGTAGTGGTGGTGGCGGCGGCGGCGGATCTATGATTTGTCCTTCCATAGAAAAAAAAATTATGATCTGTGATCTGTGGAGGCTGGAGGCTGGAGGCTGGAGGTAGAAGAAGGGTGAAGGTTGTTGGATCTTAATCCTATGATGCCAAAAAATTCATATGTTGAAACTGCATAAAACACATGGTTGTACAGTAGACATACTCTTTTTGTCTTATGGTGCCAGCTGTACGGAAGTGTTGAATCTGAAGTGGAGCATTCAGTCACAGCTAAATGGAAGTGCCGGAGTTCCTCCCTTATTGACTATTTCCACTGCACGATGCATGGTTAATGGTTTGCTGCTACCTGAGCGTAGACTAGTTGCAGTGACAGATTGGTATGAAGGCTTTCTTGGACTGCATCCTGACCACCGTACCTGTGTTGGACAAGCATTTGGCAGCTTCTTGTTTATGCCGGGTTGGACTGTCCATGAATGGCTACATTGAGTTGCAGCCTTGGCCACCTCGTAGGCAGGACTGCAATAATTTGCTTGGCGACACCATTAAGCTCTGCTGCAGTTTATGGTCCATATTTTGTTTGGGTTGGTTTTCCCTGCAGTTCGTGCCACCATGGTCACTGCATGTGCTGCTTGAGATCAAATGTGATGAAGTCCAACTCTGGCCATTTTTCTGTAGCTATGCAGTTCTGGTGCTCATGAACACATCAGCGTTAGTTGTTCCACCTCGGATGTCCTTTAGGTGCATACAAATTGCGGATGGCTCTCTTGTGTGGAGTTTTATAATGGGGACAAATACTACTGGAACTTACACTTCAGGTGCAGCTCCTCTTTCGGTTGCAGATGATGGCTTCAGGTGTGATCCCTGTGCATTACTAAGGCAACTTGACAGTGCAAAAGCTCAGAGAAATTTACACATGCAAGCACCTGTGTGTTTGATTGCTGATCAAGTTATTTTAGTTCCTTGGAAGTTTTGGCCATGGTTCACCAGATATACCTCTGATAGGTTTCTGCAGTTGACAGTTCCTTGGTCACTAGGTGTTTGGGCATGCAATTCAGCTCGCATGATAGCATGCTCAGTGTTGTTGGGAGCATTACTGGTTGCACAGTCTGTGACTCTGGAATTCTGCTTGGAATGGATGATGCTTGATATGGGCTTCTTGACTACCAGCAAGGAAGTGCGGTATAGTGTAATGGCTTCAGCTTGACATATTCCCTGTCTCATGAGCTTTTCGCTACTACAATATTGATCAGTATGGCAACAAAGGGAAACACTAGAGCTAGCATATTACCATTTGGCCTTGATAAGTCAAGAATCATTTGGGATCCCGGTGGTTCCACGCTTCTCCATCGGCTTGGGAGCAAGCCGAATCTCAAGCGGAGGGGAATGTCAGGATATGGCCATGGGCTTATGGGCCGGACAACATGTCCCTCGCAACCAAGGCCCAAGGGAGACACTATGAAGCACTACAAAAACAACAGGAGCCGGAGGGGAAACGGGACGGAATATTCAGAAACCAAATGTTATCTTCCTTCTCGAGAATTCCCCTTTATCTACTGTTCTTCTCCTTCCTCTATAACCCTATACTTCCTCTGCTGTTCTCTAATTCTCTACTGCTCTCCTCATTCCAGCTATCGGTTGCTAACGGAAGACCCATGAATCAGATACCGCCGGCGGGACGGCCGTGAGCCAAGCCGCCGCATGCGGCATGTCGCTGTTGGACGGGCAACGGGTTGACGCCGTGTGGCAGAACCACCCAAATTATGCTGGCCTATATGTACCCGTCATTGTCCTAAAGACCTCTGACTGTTGTACACGAAAGCCAAATAATCCGGTAGTCTGTTGGGTGTCCTCGGGGAACCCCGAATCATCCACATTTTACAACTCATACAGGATCAACAATGGAGTTACTACAACATTACAACATTGATACAAAAATTTCATACATCGGAGTTGACAAAGACTTATAATATTAGTTTACAAAATATGTTTAAGTAAAACATAACTTTAGATCCAAAAGGTGAATAGGACAGTGGGAGCAAATTAGAAGAAGCACCTAAGGTAGAAGAGACTTCCAGATCATGTCCAGCCCATCGACATGACCTTGATTAGCAGCACAAGTCAGAACCTGCAACAGGAGTTACCAAACCCTGAGTACTGAATTGTACTCCGCAAGACTTTCCTAACGAAAAGAAAAGACTCCAAGGATATGCAAGCTTAAGGGAAAGTCTGAAGCAAGAGTAACTTGTGTAGAAAAGCTTACTATGAGTAGATCTTTACTTTCAATATTTTTAGCGTGTATTAAGTCATTATCGGTATCCAGTTTGCACCTAATATAAATCAATCACTTCATTAAACATCTCATCTCTTTTCTTCTCATTTCCATAAGTCGCCAGGTTCCATTGATTAACTACGATGATGGTGCGAGGATCAAGTCTCCTTTTACCGTAGAGCAAACGACGATTCGAACCGATTAAACCCAGCTGGGGATTCCCAACCACACGACATATGCAGGTCCCAGACCTACATATATCAACCTTCACTCGGATCCTCCAAAACAAAATGGGTTCGCGCCACCCGAGAGCACAGTACTCCACTGCCCTACCCTATTCCAGTCGGGTGGGTACACGCTACTGTCGCCATCTCTCCACTCCCGGTGCGCAGTTGTCCTTTTCCATAATGGAGTAGCTGAGTTATTAAGCTTACCGGAGTATGTGGCTAGTACTACAAAAATCTTAATCCAAGGGCCAACAACGGGCAGTCCTTAACTGACACAGACAGGACAAACACGACCAGGCAACCCTGTCGGCTTAACCACCAGAGAATATCCCATGTCCCGTTCGGTCTCCACTTTCATCTATTCATTTTTCATTATTTGTACCTGAATAAGGTACCATCTCGAATGATGAAGCCATCATCCCTCAGGACAGTCCCTGAGCAAAGAACCATCGTGAATGAAGAACTCATCACGCAACTCTTTAACAACTAAGCAAGGCTAAGCATCAACTAGCCTACAACTGCTCGAAGGTGACAAGGAAATGTATTGGAATGTCAAGGTAATCATGCAGCAACGGGTTTCAATTCAACCCCTATAACTTAATGCACATAATATAGGACTCAAATTATAAAAGCATTTATAAACAACAAGGATAGGTTGTATGCTCCGAGGCTTGCCTGTGTTAGACAGGTACTCAATCTCCTCAGAAGGGTCATAGAAATCCAACCTAATTTCCACCGGCTGGCAACTTCCTTCGGGGACTTTCAACCACGAAATCCCCACTCTCGTTCACTTCACGGAGATAATGATGCATGCTCAATAATGGTATGCTTGAGATGATGTATGACAATGCATTGGTGAAAGCATAACAAGATTAACTTGAGTACAATTTTTTTTTCACGGTACTATTGCAAGTAATTGATGTAAAGCACTTTTAATTATTATTATCACCAAGTTGATTATGAGCGCAACTAATAAGCAATTAAATTGGCAAGGAACAACAGACAGAGGTGAAAGTGTCCCACGTGTACCAACCTGCCACCGCTTGGGCAGTTACCGCACCTAGAAAAGCTGTCGCTCTGCTATTTGCCAGCAATTAAAAGAATCGACAGGGAATTTTGTGGTGGCAAAGGAGCATTCCGTAGATTGTCATCTTTAGAAGTCAGTGATATTAATAGTACAGAATTGGACATCACCGTCGGTTTTATCACTGTCGGATTTTGAGAAATCGACAGTGATAGCCTATCACTGTCGGTTTTTGGCTAAAACTGGCAGTGATAAGACACTAATTGCTCAACTGACACTGATATTCATGTCTTCACTATCGGTTCATATCACTGTCGGTTTTAGCCAAGAACCGATAGTAATATTAGGTCATCATTGTCGGTTTTAGCCAAAAACCGACACTGATACTATCACTGTCGGTTCGTGGCTTGAACCGACACTGATATACTGTAAGAAAACTTCATAAGTTTCTCATATTATGTCCGATGAAGACAAACTTTATATCAAAGTTGTAGTATTCGACGAGATCTACAACTTTATAATTTAAAGTTTTTTAATTTGAGATTATTTAGATGCCCAAATATTTTTATTTAAAATCATCTATCTAACGAAAATTACGTTTGATTTCTAAAATTTAAAAGTTGAATTTTTCAAAGGACCTCGGATGGAGAAATGCCTAAAACAAAAGTTGTAGATCTTAAAAGGTTATGCAACTTTATAGTTGATAAGTTTTCCATTTGAAATTATTTACTACTTCAAAATGCTGATTGAAATTAAATTTTAAAATTGTTGAAGAACTCTGAATTCTCTTTTTCATGTGTGGCTAAAACTTGTAACGTCTTTCTCCGTCGTATTAGCTTCAAATTTGATGATTTTTTTCTAAAAATTTCTAAAATCATGCTCTATCAATTTATTGCTTTGTTATAGCTATTATTTTATCCATTTTTTCATGTGACTGTGTTTTATATATTTGAATTTTGAATTTCAAAAAATAGCAACTTCAAACGTCATCTTGGAACACTAAATGATTTCAACTGAAAAAATCATGAATATAGAAGTTGTAGAACTTATCAAGATCTATAACTTTTATTTTAGTCATTTTTTTCATCCGATAAAGTGGTAGTAACATTATTCACAAAATTTACATATTTCTCTTCTAGTTTCATAAACTATAAAAAGGGATACATAACATTTGTGAACAATGTTACTCCCACTATGGCGGATGAGTAAATGACCAAATGACCAGAATAGAAGTTGTAGATCTTAGAAAATTATGAAACTTTATAGTTGACAACCTTTTGATTTGAAATCATCTTGTCAAGAAAAACTAAGTTTAAATTTCTAAAATTTAAAACTCAAATTTTGTAAATGATCTCGGATGGAGAAACTACAAAAATGAAAGTTGTAGATCCCAAAAGGTTATGAAACATTGTAGTTGACAACTTTTTTATTTGAAATCATCTTGTCAAGAAAAACTATGTTTGAATTTTCAAAAAATTGAAATTTGAATTTTCTAAACGACCTCGGATGGATAAACAGCTAAAACAAAAGTTATTGATCTCGAAAAGTTATGAAACTTTGTAGTTGATAACTTTTTAATTTGAAATCATCTTGTCATGGAAAACTACGTTTGAATTTCTAAAATTTGAAATTCAAATTTTGTAAACGACCTCGGACGGAGAAACTACCAAAATGAAAGATGTAGATCTCGAAAAGTTATAAAACGTTATAGTTGTCAAGTTTTTTATTTGAATTCGTTTAGAGTCATAAATACTCATTTCAAAATCAGATAAACATAAAATGGATAGGATGAAAATCTCATTTGACGCAAACAGCTTGTAGGTGGAGTGTGTAGGGGACAGTAACGCTTCAGAGGGGGGTTGAATTACGCAACTTAAAAATCTAACTCTAAACTATAGCATCTTTTTCTAACCTTAATAGAACCTATGCAAAAGATAAATTATCTAAATGTGCAACTACGGTTTTGCTAGTGTATTGCTATCTCTACCGCAAAAGGAGTAATACAATCAATGTAAATGCGAAAGCTAAAGAGTAAGGTAGAGATCGTCCCAACCGTTGGAGCCACGATCAACTGATCGGACGCTACCAGCGTTCGGTCACTTGCCACCGGACGCGTCCGGTCACAATTTCGCCGCTCTGGAATCTCTCTGTACTCGACCGGACTCTGCTGTCCTGCGTCTAGTCGATTTGCTTGTTCAGCGTCCGGTCGCTGCTGCTGTCGAGCCTCTTGATCGGTGCGTCCGGTCACTGTGCTACCAGCGTTCGGTCCAGCGGCCGGTCACTTCTGTGAGCTCGTTTCTTCGTGATCTTGCGCCCGACTTGGTTCCTATCTTCGTGCTTGGATTTTGTTTGATATCTTGGGTCTTCTCTTATGCTTCTAAGGTCTTTTTTATAATGTTGATCATCAGATTATCACGTCGCCTTCGTCCAAGTCACGTCTTGCACCCTATTGAACTTCAAAACAACCACTTGCAAATTCATTAGTCCAATTTGGTTGTGTTGGTCATCGAACACCAAAATCCAAAGTAAATGGGCCTAGGGTCCATTTTCCTTACAGAGTGGTTAGGGGCCGAAGAAGCGAAGCAGGAGGTTAGGGGTTTGAGCGCCGGTGGCCGTGAAGCGCGCGTTTTTCGCGCGAAAAATCACGTGACTTGTGACCGTGTAGCTGCCCGGTGTTTTTTTCC